ATAAAAATGTTTTTTTTTCGTGAATTTTTTTTAAAATTTTTTTTCATTGATACATACCCAAATGCACCAGGACATTAAGCCCATGTTACATTATGTAATCAATTGAATTTGCATATTCAAAAAACTGTATGTTTAATTTGAAATAAAAAATATTAATCCATGCACACAGTTCAAAAAAAAATTCAAAAAAATCTCAAAAAAAAACGTCCGTCGTCACCGTTTGCTGATGATATTTTTTTTTTTTTGTTTTTATTAGAAAAAAAAAAAAAATGTTATTAATTAGATCAATTTTCATGTTGGTAAATTAAAAAATGTGTCATAAACTATTGTTAAAAAAATAATATTTTATCTATTTTTACAAATCCAAGAAAAAACTCAATTTTCTTTTAATACAACTTTAATTATGAAATAATATTCCATTTAAAATTTTTATCCTTATTTTTTAAAATCAGGAAATTGAACAATTTTTCATTTCCAAGACAAAAAAAATATTATTCCTGTTTCTAGCAATTGTACAATACTATTACAAAAAAAAATGGATTTCGCTTGCAAATTTGTGTCAACAAAAAAAAATACAAAAAAAAAATTCTTTTTTTTTCTTTTATATTGTGTCCCTTCAGGACGAGGGCGAACATAGATCTCTACAACTATCAGGTCATCCCATAAGTTCTGTCCGAATTTTGAATAAAGAAAACAAGAGACCAAATGTTACATTTAATTACAGATTCAATCAACAATGTATTTTCCCTGATTATCTATGACTTCCTTCCATCTATTAACAAGCTTACTAATTCCATTACTGTAAAATACTTTTGGCTTTGATTCGAAGAACTCACAAATGTCAGTTTTAACCTCTTCCTGTGTTACAAAAGCTGTTTCTTCCAAATGATTCTATAAGCTACGAAACAAATGGTAGTCTGAAGGATCAAGATCAGGAGAATAAGGTGGATGGGGAATTTTCTCCCAACTAAGTTCTTCGATCTTTTGTGACATGATTCTTACTGTGTGGGGTCGCGCATTGTCCTGATGAAACATCACCTCTTTTCGATTCACTAGAGCAGGTCTTTTTTCCTCAAAGCTTGGTTCAAACGCTTTAATTGCTGACAGTATATTTGAGCATTAATTGTTGCATTAGGTGGTAAGAATTCAAAGTGGATTATTCCTTGGCGATCCCACCAGATTGAAAGAAGAACCTTTTTGCCCATGAAGTTCCCTTCTCGGCTGTGGCTGGGTCCTTCCCTTTACCAAGCCACTGTCTACGACGTTTAACATTTCGATAAAAGATCCATTTTTCGTCGCCAGTCACAATCTGAAAAAGGTTGAAACAAGTTGGCGAGAATGGAGAGAAAAGCAGATGTCAACTCAGGATTTGAGGTTGTTTTCAGACAATTCATAAGGCACCCATTTTCCAAGTTTAGAACTTTTCCAAATTGTTGAAGATGACGATGAACAGTTGTATGGTTTGAACTGAGAACCACTGCCAATTCCTCAACTGATAAAGGATTTTCACATTAGGGGCTGCTTCAAAAAGCTTTTCATCAAACTCAACTGGACGTCCGATTCGATCTTCATCTTCAAGGGTGAAATCTCCACCTCTGAATTTTGCAAACCATCGTCTGCAAGTTCTTTCATTCATTTACATTCCTCTCCATAAACTATGTGAATGTTTGTTTCTGTTTTCCCCCCGGTCGCAGCGCCAACTGTGACGTTCTATCCTGATCTACCACGGCGCCAGTTGTGACGTCCGTTCCAGGTCCTATCCCGGTTACGACACCAGTTGTGACGTCCCTAAACAGCACCAATTGTGACGTCTTCGCCGCGGCGCCAGCTGTTCGCTCCTCGCTGCTCCGTTCGGGTGTCGCTGCTCCAAACGTGACGTCCGCCTGTCGCGTCAGTCGTGTTGTCTCGTCCTGTGACGACCAACTGGCTTGGTATCGGTCGCGGCACCCAAATGTGACGTTCTAACCTTTTGGTGATTCGGGTGGGAATCTGGTTAGATTTGATATCAGCCTCGTCGTTCCCAACTCGCTTCCAACGCCTGGTTACCAAGGTAACTGCATTGATCTCCAGTCTGCCTACCCACGTTGTGAATTGATCTTAGACAGACGAGATCAAACAGTGGTTGGGGCCGTAATGCAAACTGAGTTCAACGGGGGTGATACTACACAAATATGCATAAAAAAAAATAAAATGAAAACTCAAAATTTCAAAGTATCAAAGAAAAAGGTAACAAACTTTATGTCTAGTTGTTCGATACATAGGACTGCATCTGTCTCCCGACCCGTTCTGTGGATTGTGACACGTCGTTTTCCGTTAAGCACGTTTTTAACACTTCAAGTTGTTTGCTCTCTAAGAAATTGGCGTTTCTGTGTGTCTTTGGACGAAAGTCAAAAAAAAAAACTTATTTCGGTGGTCTGGTTCTGAGTCGCTCTTCAAAATAATTGTTCTTGGTTTGAAGAGGAGTCCGAAATTTGCGTGAATCTTGGTCAGCTATCTTGAGGCGGCTTCAACTCTGGAAACTGGAGCTCGAACTCTCTGGACACTCATCTCTCTGCCGCCAGGGCCCGAACTGGAACTTTCTGGACACTCATCTCTGCCGCCAGGGCCGAAACGCTCTGGACACTCATCTCTGCCGCCAGGGCCCGAACTGATTTCTGCCTGTTGGGGCTTCGTTTTTATTGACGCCGACCAAAACCGGGGTGGGTCTGTTGGCGTCGGGGGTTCCTCGATAATTCTAAATACATATCCACCTCTTTTATTTCTGGTTATGGATTTTCCACTTTTTTCCATTTTTGGGAACTTTTTCTCACTCCCACTTTCTCACCATACTTCTGAGGGGCGTGAACTGCCCTCCCCACTTCTTCGTAGCAGCTTCTCATACTTATACTTTGGATGGGGGCGTCGACAGCCTTCTTCGTGCGTCACGTGATCACTCTCGACCAATGAGGTCTTGGTCGGGTATCTTTCTTTCTCCTTCGTGCGTCACGTGATCACCACTTGACCAATGATGTCTTAGTCGGGTGTGAACAATCCGCAGCTTTGTTTCGGAAAAAAAATACCTTGCTTAACTAAAAAAAAATTATTTTTTTCTTTTCCTTTTCCTAAATCGCCGTTATCATTTCTCTGGCCACCAACGGAAAATATGAACAATGGGGTCATAATTCTTCTACACGTGGCTTTGTCAGGTATTTTATCGCTAATTTATCAAGATGGTTGGTTTTCTTAACATGGCCTCAAAAAAAGAAATTATCCCCAAGTTTTCAGTCAGTCTGACGTCTCCAAGGAAGAAAGAAAAACACCCTGGGTCCCCACCCATTTTTCCTTCGGTTCATATTCCTGATAACATAAATTTATTATCGCAGGGAAAAGTTGTTTTGTCGAAAAAAATTTAGTTAGCGAGACTCCTTGTGTGGGATTTAATTTTCCATATCTAACTAAGGCTCTGTAGCTACACCTGTGTTTTGTCAATTATCAAAATTAACGTTTTCAAGTGGACTTTCTTTGGCGAACATTTCTTGATAACACAATTCCATTCGCGCAGGCCAAGTAGGAAAAATCGGTCAACGATTACTCGTAGGTGGCCTTTAATTTTTATCTGTCCCAAGTCTTTTTTATGTCGCCTGTTTCTTTTCGTCACTTATCGAAATAACATTTTCACTTGAATTTTTCCCTTTGGCCGGTGGTCTGTGTTGATAATAAGATGCCTTCCCCTACCAATAGTTTGTTTTCATATCCTTAGATTTCATTTCCCTACCCACTCAAATCTCATTGTCATTGTAATGACACTCTTTTTAAATCATTTGCCACTTATCAAAATAACCCCTTTTTTATTTCCTCTTAGCCGTGTGTGTGTTCGCTTATCACCTATGATTCGGATCTCGCCTCACTTTTCCTTTCCTTTCTTCTTTTCTTTCTTTTCCCTTTCTGCCTTTCTTTCTCTGCCTGGATGCATGGTGCCACATTTCTAGCCGCTTCGACTGCCGAGTTTCCTTTCTTGAACTCATAAAGCATTATGTACCTCAAATGATTCTTGGGTACTTCCATGTTAGCAGGGTTTTAATTAAACAAAATTGAATTTTATTGTTCTCTGAAATAAAATTTGATCAGTCTAAATGCATCTAAACATAAAAATAATGTTCAGCTCCATTAGACATTATAAAATACTCTTTAAATTTCGTTCATTTTAAAAAAAGGTAAAATTCGGACAGAACTTATGGGATGACCCGATACTTATCCTCTGTAGCACTAAGCAATCTTTATCTTCATACTATGTTAAGTTATCTTCACTTTACCTTTACTTGTCTGGCGTCTAATCCAGCGACTGTTAAGCCTTTTTTCCTTGTTTTGGGTTCCAGAAATTCTAACTGACTTTTCCTCTTCCCAAATAAAAGTGTACTTTTTGTTAATATCTTCCTCATCTTAGAAATATAAACAGATACAGAAGATATCGAAAGTTTCATGAAGAGAGTGAGAAAGCAACGAGGTCTTAGAGAGAATGGTAACAAAAAGAACGCATATGCACAGAATCAGGAAGAGACAGTCGAAATTCCTTGAATATATAATGAGGAAAGAGGGACTGGAAAACTTAATCCTCACAGGGCTATCGAGGGGAAAGAGAGATAAGGGAAGACGGTGAGCTGTCTACCTGATGAGCTTGTGTGAATAGATGACAGAACGGAGCCTTAGCAAAGGGAGAAGCGCATTTCTGTTGCCTCAAGTCTCTTCTTCATATGCGATGGGATTGTCCAGCATTTATTGCCATATAGAAAGAATGACATTACGTGACAGTTCAACATTTTTTTTTTATTTCTAAGAATAGCCTCCATTTCTTTTTACATAATATCGATTAGATAACATGAACAAATTAATTAAAATAAAAATTAGACAATTTGAAATAATTAGTTATTCAATTATACAAATTGAATGACAAAATTGTATACCATCCTGACAGATCGGAATTGTTCCATCTACCCTTCTATTACTCCTGTGTTATGGCCACATCACACCGGACGATCACCGAAGTTAAGCAACGTCGAGTTTGTTCTGTACGTAGATGGGTGATCGCTTGGGAATACCAAGTGCTGTAAACTTGAATTTGCAAGTGGTGCAATGGACAGTTGCTCGGAATTGTTAAACGGAGAGAGGAGTTCCAATTCCATTTGCGAACGTTATGTTCATTTCCGCTCAAAATTTCCTTAGGAATGATATGAATCCATCTCTTCTCCCTCCAACTACGGGTTAATTAGTAAGGCTTGTATCACTAAATTATTATTATTATCTTCCAAAACTTCTATTTCCCCGATCGCTATGGGGTGAAGAGAATTACATTCTTACTTTTGACAATCGAATCTTAAAATTGGTTCGTCGATTCCCGTACCGCCACGACAACCTTTTTAAAGAAATAGATGTCTTGTGCCATTCTTTCAAAATGAGAAATCCAGGTGCCTAGGAGATCAGGTAATGGCTTTTGCATAGGTTCGAACATCTCTCTCGAACATATGTCTGTCTGTCTGTCTATCTATCTATCTATCTATCAAGTATATCTAAGTAGCAAGAATTCAAGCAAAAGCTTTTGTTAAATTCGACCCAAAAGGTGTTTCTGTTAATTTGTATTGTATTTTTTTAATTTTCGGATTAGATCACGTAGTCAAAATTGTGGAAAAACTGTCTCATGTTTATTGTTTATTAATTTTTTGTTCAAGTACTTTTGGAGCCATTATCAAGAATCAAAGACGGTATCAGTAGAGTAGGCAGGAGTTTGTTGAATAAATCCTAGCATTTTTGGAAAACTGGGATTCAAATTAATGCAAAGTAATGTTATATTAAAATTGTACTTAAAATAATAAACCTAAATATATATATATATATATATATATATATATATATATATATATATATATATATATATATATATATATCGGTCTGTCTATCTATCTCATTACTTGATAAATTTATTTTTACCTCAGTGGCTCATTTCTTTTGCTCGCCACTATATTTATCGGTCACGCAACCTGGAATTCCTTTCTTAGTAATGAAATATTCTGACTTTAGGGCAGGCGGAAATAGTACTAAAAGTCGTTAAACACACACATTTTGCCTAGATAAAGCCTTCGTAAGTTGAGAGCTATATTTATGAGTAAAATGTTTTGTGTTTCTTTAGGGCTTGGGTTAACAGGGATCTCTTTAATGAGTCTGTCGGAACCTTTTTCAATCAAACAAAGGACTTCAACTACAACTAGAATTGTTAATGTCCTCATGTGCCACATTTTTTAGATTTCCACTTCCAGTATTATTATTATTATTATTATTATTATTTATATAATACTAAAATAATTAGTGCTTGCGTCGTGTAATGATTTGTTTTTTACTACCTCTCTCTTTCTACCTCTCCCACTCTTTCCACCTCTCTCTTTCCACATCTCTCGCTCTTTCCACCTCTCTCTTTCTACCTCTCTCACTCTTTCTACCTCTCTCACTCTTTCCGCCTCTCTCTTTCCACCTCTCTCTTTTTACCTCGTTCACTCTTTCCACCTCTCTCTTCCCATATCTCTCTTTCCACCTCTCTGCGATTGTATGTGTCCTTCCGACGCATAATGATTAAAGTTAATATGATATAAGTAAATGAGATTTAAAAATATGAGTTGGTTATACAGCAATTATTTTATTTTAACTTTCTTCAAGCAGAATTTTTTAATTAAAATATTTTTTAAGTTAACAAAGAGATCCCGCTTTGCTGTTTCGTCCAGTTGTTTGTAAAATAATTATTTATATTTCAGCTTTCTTTAAACAAACAATATTTTAAATATTTAAAAATATTTCTTGCCATTTTAAAAAAAATATTTTCAAGTGAATATGATTTTTAAGAATACAAGTTGTTTAAGCAGTAAGTATTTTTATTTCAACTTTCTTCAAACTGAAATCTTTTAATGTTGAAATCAACTTCAATGTTTTATAACCTGAATTGTCAGTGACCCAACGGGCCACGGGTAGTCAAGTTATTATTATTATTATTATTATTATTATTATTTCTTTTGTTTCGTGTTAGCTTTCATTGAATAGTTTTTACTTGTAATTATTTCAATGGCAGAATTTTGATTTGATAATTGAATCACTGTATCATACTAGACATTTTTTTCACGCCATAAACTATCTTACACATTGATAAGTATACAATTCGCCCACACATTGAATATCGCTACCAACTCTGGTTTCGTGCTTTCGCTATGTATTATTCGCAAAATAGTGCCAACGATGGCAGCCTAATGTATAAACTGAGTCATATGATGAACGTTTGATTTTAATCATCAGGGAATTAGCTGGTGGGATCATAAACCGTAATATATTATCCAAAATACATCTTGGGACTTTAGTGTGCAAAAAGACATGACAACGTGGCTGATGCTAATCCCCTCTATAGTAAACCTCTCTGCCATCTTCTTTTCATGACTCCAGACATGAAGCGAAATCACTATATGGAAACAGTCGCAAAGTTTTACGTTAGCAATATCTGTTTGTTATATCGTTAGACAAGTTTTTTTTTTCTCGACAGAATCCATCTTGAATGTTTATAATTCTGCCATTCATCAGTGCATCAAATATTGCTGCTTCTGTTTTATATCTAGACATACTTGAGTCTGTAATGCTATCGGTCCTGAACTGGCATCTCGACTTCAGTCATTTTCCTACCGCCGTAATGCAGTTTTCCACTGCCAGTTTTAGGGCAGGCGGAAATAGTACTAAAATGGTAATTATTCTGGTGAGCTTTCCTCTTTGCTACCTTTTAATACAAATTTAGCATCTATGTCTCATCCTTTTACAGTTGAAATAGCGTTTATAATAGCAAGATGTAACCGTAAGTTCTATGCTAACAGTTTCTTCTATCGCTCTTCCCGCTTGTAGAAATCTCTTCCGCTCTCTTGCTTTCCAATTGACTTTGATTTAAATAAAAAAAAACTTTATCTAATGTCAGTCGTTATCGTTATTGGTCTTTCTGCTTAATATTGTTTTTGTTCTTTTTCTCATATTCTTACACACTCAGTAACCCCTCTTGCGTCTTGTTGTCTTTATTGCCTTGGATGGGATGAGAAATCAGTGAAAGTAAAATTATTCTAAGAAATCCATCACATCTTGTTTTAAAAATTTTATTCAATGTTTTAAAAATTACACCACCATGTACATAATTTATTGTTGATATTTACAAAATTTCTTAACCTAAGGAAACAATTACAAAGAGTCGTCTAAGCTATAGAACCATCTCTATAAACGGCACATATATTTTTATCTGTTTTTAGAGGACTTTTTTTTCTTTAAAAACTAAAATAGAATCAAACGATTAAAATGTATCCCATTTTCTTTAATATTCAATTTTAACATAAAATAAAACACTTTTAACATTCACGGTCCAGACACGAATCGTATCGGAAGACGCATTAGAGTGTCACCATTCAGAATATGTACACTGGCTTGTAGAAGTATTTCCTTCTTATTAATATAAGTGTAAAGTGCATTAGCAAGTCATTGTAGTTGAAAAGTAGCTTGCTTTTTTTACACTAAATCATGACTAAAATTTCTGCTGAAACAAAGATGAAGCTTGTTACTTTGAAAGGGCAGATGCCTCAAAGAGAGGTAATCAGGCGACTGGAACTTTTCAGAAACAGTGTTCATACCATCCAAAAGACATTTGCTAGTTCTGTGTAAGTTTTAAGCGTATAGAAAACCGAACTACCACAACATTTTGGCAAGAGAGATGAAAGAAAATTGTGAGAGGTTATCCAAATTTATCACTTAGGCAAGTGTGGATTGAATGCAGTTTTTAACTGTTAGGTTTCGGTTGATACAATACAAAAAGTATTGTCAAAATGTAATTTTTTTATTGATCAATGCAAAACAGAGTTACAATCTCATGCCAGAGAATATGTCAGAGCAGCTTACAATACGCAGTTTCTACAGATCATATAAAGGATAAAAAAAAAGTTTTTATAGGCACGTGTTCCTTTGTTTCCAATTATTTTTTGTTTAATTGTAATCCTGGTTTATTAACCAAAATAATACCTCATAAATATAGCCTAAGCTGTACCATTTACTAATAATTTTACTAATTACTAATTTTTTCTTGATTTGCCTTGCTGAAATTGGGGTGCGTCTTATACACCCGTGCGTCTTATATGCCATCAAATACGGTATCTGCTAAGATGTGATGCCAGTGTTATTTTCATTTTTGCGTAATTTAGACGACAATTTATCCATCGCACCCTGTATAAACTTAAGTGCATGTTCTTTTTATACTGTGTTTCGAGCGGATTCACTTCTTTTTTTTTTTTTTTTTCATGCATTTTTGCCTTGAATATTAAATGAACGTCTTTTGTGGTTCAAAACATCGCCAGCTTTATCATTATAAAAAAACGTCTTTATGAATATTGAATTATATTTATCGGGTCAGCAAGCAGTAATAAAAACAAGACCTCAAGATACACTTGGGCATTAGGTCATTTGAAAACCTTTATTTCAGTACGTTTGTGTCTGTGCGTATATGTGTCTGGAGCTGGGTGGGAATGTCTGTATATCCGTGTGTGTAAATTCATTTGCATATATGCATACAAGTGGCGTTTATGTAAGTTTGTGGGCGTAGCGTCCTGTACTAAAATGAACTATTTCCCGAATTCACAGATTATATCCTTGAAATGTTCGTCTCTTATGAGACCTGAATAATTGAGCTTTTATTGCCGACATATTTTATCGGTAAAACACAATCGGCAGCAGTATTAAATAATATTAATATATTCAAATTTTAGTCATAGGGATGATGTGCAGGTGATGTAAGGAATAGCGGCTTGTAAATAGGAGAGGTGAGTTCGAATTCCAGTCGGGTTCCTTGCATTCACTTACGCGCAAATACCCTTGAGAAAGGTATTAATCCATCTCCTCCCTCTATTATATATATATATATATATATATATATATATATATATATATATATATATATATATATATATATATACACAAATTGGTCTATCGAATAGTTTGTAACACAAGTTGCGTCTCTGTCTTTGGGCAGAGTGCTCTCAGGGGCGACTCAGTCAAAGGACAG